ATGTACAGAACTCCAGGACCCAGTCATCATTAATTGGGAAATAGCTGTGTTCTTCAGTGCCAGAATCTACCATCATTTGAGTAATTATTTGAATAACAGCAATAATGGCTAATATTTATTAAGGGTTCATTGTACCTAGAACATTATCGCATTTAACCCTCACAGCAACCCTGTAGGTAACATATTACTCATTTTAGAGATGAGGAAACTATGATTCAGAGAAGTTAAATAACTTCTCTATGGTTGTGTTGCTAGTCTGATTCCAGGGTATGTACTGCCTCCCTGATGAGGTGGAGGGGGTGCACTGGTCTCTGATAAACTTTTGCTGGAATATGCTCTTCCCACTCCATTTGAAGATGGTTCTAGAGCTGAGCCCTAGAAGTATTATACTGTCTTGTCACAACCCCCTTTCATGTCTGCACATATTTGATTATAAAGAGGATTTCACAGCCAGTCTGGCTCAGTCCTGGCAACTCTGCTGATTTTAGGTGGATTGCTGGTTAAGCAGATACCTTCAGTCTTTCTGAGCTGAATTTGGAGCATTTTTCAAGACCTGTGCTGTGAAGTGTGTTACAGAATTTAGGCCAGTGTTTTCAAGTCTGCAGACCCAATTGAATTGGTCTTGATTTTTTTCTCCTCCAGTGAAGTAAAAGCCTCAGACACCACTAGTGACTATACTCCTTAGGAATGTAAAAACCATCTTTTTAGTATTTGTGCTTTTGAAGATCAACATATGCTGAGCTTGCTATAAAATATATTTGTGTAAAAATATGTATGTATGTGTATAGAAAGCATAACAATAACGAATACCCATGGACCCACCACCAGCTTTAACAAAACTAGGCATTTTATGGCAGGTTAGCTTTAATGTGTACTGTGTGAAGGGGAAGCGAGTGAAGAGCAGGGGTTTCTCACTTGGCTACACGTTAGAATTCCCCTGGAGAGCTTAAAAAAAAAAAGTCCTCATACCCTTGGGAGGGTAGAGGCAGTCCCTACCCCATCATCAGAACTTTAAAAAGCTCCCTGGGAGATTCTGTTGTGCAGTCAGGGTAGAGAACCTGTCTGGAGGAAGGTGTCCGTTTTTCTTCACTGGGTTTTCTCAGGTGCCCAGTACCAAGCCATGTGATTAATGAGTGGTACTCCCAGCCTTTATTTTTCATTTTTCCTGTTGAACTTTTTAATGTGGTCTGCTCTCCAGGATTCTCAAGGGTGATGTCCTCCGGTGCCCCTCTCCTGATACTATCCCCCCCCCCCCCAACTGGGGATACATTTACATATTTGTTAGAAAGGATTTAGTGATTAGGAGTTGAGGCATTAGAGAGGGAACTCAGAAATTCAGAAGTGTTGGGAGCTGTGGTTGCAAGTGGGATGAGCTGACCGTTATTATAAAACTTAGAAGTCAATGGGGACACAGCGTTTCATTTAGAAAACTTGGAGGCACATGCATCTTTATAGGAAGGCTGTGAGCCGTCTGGTGGTAGTTGAGGGCTTTTTTTTTTTTTTTTTTGGCCTGAGTCACAGCTTTATAGGTACTATGTGGGTTAAGATGTATAGTAAAGTATGTTCTGCCAACAGAGTGGCCAGCTCTGTGTGGACACATCTGAGACTGTGACTGTGACATTTTCAGAAGTATTGTCAACTCTTGATTATTTGGGGCCTAATTATCTCCTGTGGGCCTTAGCTTTCCAGGGCACCCACACCTCATCCGGTGTGTCAACACCCTCATTCGTTCGATAAATGCTTATTGAGTTTCTCTCTGTGCCAGGCACTGTTTTAGCCACTGGGTTTTGTAAACAGAGCCCCTGGCTTCAAGGAGTGTCTTTCTGTAGGGGACAGGGGTGTTACATTCTGGTGTCATGTTGTCCCCTGGCATGTTTAACAGAGAAAAAGGTGTGGTGGAGCTGTAATTCTCCTTCATTAAGAGCTCTAGGGAACCATTTGGCAGGTAAGAAGTTTGCCCTCTCTCCCTGTGACGTGGTTCAGTCATTTTGGTTACAGATGTTTTCACAAATGTGTTCCTTCAAGAGAGGCTGAATGCTGGGACATTGAAGTTTGGAGGGACTTTTGGAATCCGTTGAATTTTATTAGTTACCACCTTTAAATGAGGGGAATGACAGCTCAGGTCACCATCTTGCAGTTTCTGAGTTTGAGCCCTGTGTTGGGTTCTGTGCTTTTCAGCAGGCTCAGAGTCTGGAGCCTGCTTCCGATTCTGTGTCTCCCTCTTTCTCTGTCCCTCCCCCACTCACACTCTGTCTGTCTCTCAAAAATAAATAAAAACACTTAAAATTTTTTTTAAAAAGTGAGGGGAATGAAATAGACTTACAGTTTAAGATTCAAGCTTAGGGAAGATCCTGAAGAAATTACGATACTCCACTCTTTCTGTTTCAAGTGGAATCCTCTAATCCACCTGTGTTCTCCCAAATTCGAAGGTAAGGAAGGTAGAAAGGGAAAGTTTATTTCTAGGGCTCTGTACTGGGCCAGGCTCTCAGGTTACTCTCACTGGGAAGACCTAATCAGAAGTGAAGCTTAAATCTGTCACCATCTTCCACGTGGTCAGGGAATCAGGCGCTGATGAGTATCTTTGGATTCCTGATAGAGGGAATGCATTAGAGATCATTTTTGGAGTCAGTCAGTAAAATGGATCATGAGAAGAAATGTAAATAAAGTTTGAGGGAAAAAATACTGAAAAAGAAATCTTACAGATTTTGGGTTAAGTGGAGGAAGAAAACAGTGGTAGGATGTGATTTCTTTGCCTGGATCATTGTCTTTACCAGACATGGTTGTTGGCTAAAGAAGGAAAAATAAATCTCCTCATATAAAGAATGCTTTACACCTGTAAGCTCATTGAAAAGAATCACCTGGAATAATTAAGAAACCCAAATATATATAGTTTTATAAGCTTTTGGATTGCAAAAGTAGACTTTGACTTCAGTGTATAAAAGGGTGGGTGGGAAATGAAATTTTTTTGTTGTTGTTGCTCAAAGGATAACAACACTTTGTTTTTCCAGTTTAGGCTTTTCTGGTGGTTTTAGAAATCTGTGCGTCTCCTATCACCGTGTGTCTAGGTGGATAGAGTCCAGTAGCATACCTACCCCATAGGGACTTATTTTGGGAATAAGGGCAGGCACTTCTGAGAGTTTACAGAAGTGAAGATTTGCACCAAAACATAGGGAGAGGTATAAGATGTTTCTGTTTCTCCTCTGATTAGGAAGGATATGAAAGTACTTAACTGTCAACTTTATCTCCACTGTCAACTCAATATTGATGTATCCGGTAATAATAATGGGAACTAGCATTTATTGCGTGCCTACTGTGTATGCTAGGTATTGTTCTAATTGCTTAATTCAGTTTGTGTAATCCTCACCTGGCGGTCTGGTGTGGCAGGTATGAACCCTGTTTTGTAGGAGAGGAAACAGCTGCAGAGAGTTTACACCCCAGGTCACAGGGTGTATTAGTGGTGGACCCCGTACATTGTGGCTTCAGAGCCTGACTTGAACTACTGCATCACTGCACCACGGGACTAATAAATACATGCTTCTCAACTGTTTTATTCTGACGCTTTTTTTTTAATGGGGCTTTTGACCCTTTCTTAATCCCTCCCCCTTCTGTGCATGTTTTCAGAGGTGATCTTACACCCCCTTAGGGCTGTCACCTTATCACAGATGAGAAAATGTAGATCTAGAAAATTATGTTATGTAACTGCTCTGTATGACCTAGTGTGTTAGTGGTAGGGCTGGGATGTGGAACCCAAGTTGCCTAATATATAGGTCACTGCTTTTCCCACTGCACTGTATTGTTTCCATTAAAATTTTTTTTCTAGCTGAACTAAAAATTTAGAAATTTAATTTGTGTCACTCCTGTGGGTGAACTAAATTAAAATAGCTAGGTACTGTGTGATTTCACCCTAGGGAGGAGGGTGGTAGACACATTTTAGAGACTAACATTTGCCTATGGGGTTATCTGACCTACTCCTGAGGACGTCTTTCTGGCCTTTGGGAGGTTTACTTAAAAGCGGAGGAAAGTGTTTAGAGGAAATGCAAGAGCTAGCCTCAGACTTGAGTTTTACGTGATCTGAGGATTCATGGAAGGGCAAGTGTTTGTTTTTTTCTTTTTTTAGATTTAAATTAGTTGTATCCCACTGGAGGGTAAAGTTAAAAAGACCTAAATGAAAAAAGAAAAAGACCTAAACGCAAGCCTTCTTTAGTTACATTTCCTTGTGTGGCAAATAAGATTTTAAAAGGAGGGTGGAAAGAGCCACCTTGAATCTTGGTGTTTGGCTTTTTGTTTTTGTTTGTTTTTTTTCTTTGGGTCCTGTGATTCCTTTTGTTGTAACCTCTTTCCTTGGCTAATGCTTTGTTTAAAAACAAGTGCTCTGGTATTCTAAAACAAATTATCCAGCAGGCTCCCTGATTGTGCTCTCAGATAAAGGACCCCAGGGTAGTGCTCTTTCTATCTTTGAATTGCTGTTGTCTGTGCATGCCCAAAAGCAAAATTCAGTTTTACTGCAGTGCTTCCAACCCAGATTAATGTGGTTGTCTAAAACTAGGGAATATGAATTTGAAAGCAGAACTGTGGATTGTGTTTAACCCTTCAAAGGTACCTGATGGGAGTCAGGTCTGTAGGGGGTAGCAGTTTTGTCTGGGGTTAGAAACTTGGGACTCCAGTTGTCTTCGAGTTTTTAGCCAAGTGACTTTGGTCCTGTCGTTAACTTTTAGGGAAATCTAAACTCTCAGGGTCACAATGATGCTAATGAGAGTAGGGGCAGACTCTCAGACTGTGGAAAAGCACAGGTTCAGATTTTGCCAGTGACCCCAAATCCCATGTGGCCACAGATGAGTAATTTGATTTCACAGTTTCTAAAATTTTAAGGAGGTTCCCAGTACAAGTAACTTAGTGATTATAACTTCATATCAGAATTCCTTGTAATTCTGGGGAAAACATTCACGAAAGCCTCAGCCAAGTATTTTATGTATTTGATGAGAGCACCCTTTCTGTTTAAGGCTTCTATAAAACTTTTCCAAATAGTTACACTTCCTCACCCATTGTGGGTATGGAGAATGGGGATTGGGTGGTTTCAGGCTGTTGGGAACCACAGGTTCTTCTTGCCTTGTGCGGTGGTTTTGAAACCCCCAGTTGTACATGTGCATACCCCAGGGTAGCTTCTTAAACATACAGGTTCCCGGGTCCTGTTCCTCATCTACTGAAATTTCTGCTGTGTGGCCCTGGCACATGTTTTTGACAACCCCCACCCCCCAGGAGTTCTTTTACAGCAAGTCCCCTGCACAGAAGTTTTGGAATTGCTATTTTAGAGAATATTTTTCGGTGTTTTCTTGGGGCAGCAGTAATGGTAGCGCTTTAAAATAATTCCTATGCAGCCAAACCTTTTCTGAAAATAAAACACTCATGCCTATTTGGCTTTTAAATTTTACATATTGTGAAGTAGAACATATCCTAAAATAAGTATCGTGTGCAGCTCAGTGAATTATCACAAAGTAAACACCCAAGTAATCAGGACCAGGCAGTAGAACATTGCCAAAAATCTTTGATTTTTATTCTTCAAATTTATGCTTCCACCCCTTCCTTCTCTTCAAATCCCCAAAATTAGGCAAATAAGGAAAAGTTGATAAAACATTGTAATAAGGTACAAATGAAAAACATTCTGCCTTTCTGTACTGGCTTCTTCTTAATTTTTCTCATTTCTGTAAGTTTTGGTGATGTTAAGTTTGTATTATCTTTGTTTTGATTCAGCCTTTATATCAGTTCCTGACAGTGACTGTCTATTAACGCTTAGAGCATATATCAAGATTAGGCTCTAAGGTCTATCTTTTCTGAAATCTAATTCACTGAAAATATTCTCATGATAGTTTTGAAAAATGTAAAATGACAGATTTCCAGCCCTGGCAGTTATGACTCTGGTAAACAAATGAGTCTTGTCATGACTGCGTCGGTCGCCTGGTAAACATGCCTCGCTGGCCAAATGCCTTTTATCTTGGTACTTGAGGAAAGGTGGCCTCTTAGTTAACAACAAAAAAGAAGTCCGTCCTTTCTCTCCACCCCAGAATAATCTCTCTCGATCCGTTCCATTTGGAGCACTTAAAACCAAAGGTGATGAAGTGCACTGAGGTTGTTTTTCCCTTTTGACACTTTAAGAATCATTAGATTCTTGGTGGGACAAGTTCTGTTTAACAGAAAGCTTGCTTGTTTTCTTTGAAAGGGGATACTTACTTACCCTATAGGGACCGGCAGCAGGCCCTGTGCGGGAGCTGTGCTGGGGTGAAGGGAGAGAGCTGCAGTCTTGGGCCGCAGGCCGTAGTGACTAATAATTATGTGCCAGCAGCTGCACATCTGTCCTTCCCCAGCAGGCACGTGGGTTCTGTGGATGTAAGAGCTGCCGCC